GGGTATAAATACGGCTATTGAATTTGGCCTTTTTCGAAACTGTCTATTGTGCATAGGAGCCTGGGACTCAGTAGGTAGTTTAGAGATCTGTATCTTCGAAATTATTGCACTAAATCAAAAAAATCTTTTGAACTTATTAACTAACTTTATATTCTCTATTCAAATTCATAAAGGTCCTACAAGTGATATAGGCACTTTAATGAATATACAGTTTATACTATAAAATCTTGTAAATATTTTTATTTACATCTATCACTGGAGTTGTAATATAAATTGTATAAAAATATTATCGTTGTCTTTTGGTCATTTTTGTTTTGTAATGGTCGTTTCTGGTTTGCTATGGTATAGGCTAAAACAATGTACTTGCATAAAAATAACTTTAATTTGTACCCACTAAATTTTAACATTTTTTACCAATCAGCGGCCAATTTTAGAAAGTTTGAAAAAGTCACTACCAGGTTGATATGGGGCTACCCGGCCTTCATACCACCGGCCCCATGTAATTGAATCTTACAAACAAGCCGGCAAATTCTTTGTTTGCAATGAAGTAATTTGGAGATTTCAGTTGACGGGCAGGTACAACAAAAAATGGCTATTTTAGTGTATTGATCGAGTTTATATAGAGACAGTTTAAGACTCAAAAGACAGTGTTGTAAAAATTACTGAAAAAAAGTAACGAGTAGAAATTACACTGAATTACTTCTCCTAAAAATTATTGATTATAAATTACAAATTACTTTACTAGAAAAAGTAATTAATTACCATGTATACTAATTACTTTTCAAAAAGTAATTAATCACCAATTACTTTCAAAATTTCTTTACATTTTACTTTTTGTACTTAAATCATGCTTACCGCTTTCGACCTTTCGCAATACTAATTAGTTGAGGAAAATAATTTCGCGCAAAATTGGCTGGAAATTGAAAAAGACATAATACATTAACCATATCAATACATGAAGTAATGGTGAAAGCTCACGCCGCATATTTCACATATTGCAGGCTTATTTGAAAAATATTTCAATCATGTAATTAACATCGTATAGCCTATAGAAAAATGTTTTACTACTTTTTAACTTTTAAATTATGTGCAATGAATGTTGTGAGAGATGAATGTTGTGAAGTAAAATTGAAAAGTAACATGACGTTAATTTATTAATTACATTACAAATTACTTCAGCAAAGAAAGTAATTAATTACCAATGTGGAGGCATTCATGCTTCCACATTGTTTTCTCCCTGCGTGTTGTCTCTCGTACAGTCGCGTGTAGTCAGTAGTCTGTGACTATTGGCAGTGTGAGATATTAACGGCTTATTGACCGAGCGTGAGGTCTGTACTGTGAAATGTCAGACCGAGGTTTTTTAGTATGGACCGAGCGACGAAAGAGCGAGGTCCATGCAAAAAACAAAGGTCTGATATTTCGGTTATCGTTCCATGTTTCGCGCACCAATATAGGTTAGGGTTTAGGGGTTAGGTATTAGGGGTTAGGTTAGGGTTAGGTTAGGGGTTAGCGTTAGGTTTAAGGTTAGGGTTAGGGTGTGTATATATGTGTATGGAGGTATCCAGTTAACTTTTCAGTACACTATAATATCCATTACATAACGTTTACTATATTGGTGCGCGAAACACGGAACGATTACCGATATTTCACAGTACAGACCGAACAAACGAGGTCAATAATCGGTTTATTATATGGCTGAACTGAGTCTGTAAGCATATGCTTTTCGCGCGAATTAAATTGGCTATCGTCAGTTTCACTGGGTATAACAATATACGGTAGGCATGCATGCTCAATCAATAACAATTTGGTTGTTTGAAATTTTTATCTGTAAATTTTAATGACACACAATTGGAAAATTAAAAAGCAAGAATTTTTTCTGTTTGGAAAGCAAAAATTTCCCGCCAGATAAACGACATCCGGGACACCTGTCCAGATACGGAAAATACGGACCACGGTCCGGATATGGGTTTTTACGGACCGCTTGTCAACCAATCAGAATAGAGAATTTTGAAAAGCCATATAATAATAGTGAGATAGCAAACGACATTTCTGTCAACACGAACGTCAGCCGAAAGTTTGTATAACTAATTTTGACGGCATTTTGCATCGTAGCGCTTCTTAATCCAGTCTTCTCTTGGCAATCTGACATCCGTGTTGACAAAAATGTCGCTTTCTAAAGCTCCATATTTACTAACCTTTATTTTTCTATCAAATTTTCCCTGCCACTGATTGGGAACCAAATAATTATATTTCGTCTTTGGAAGGCAATCTTTAGAAGACCTGTCACCTTCGTGAGCTTCAAGATGACTGTTTGTATAAAGTTGTTCAAACAAATATTGTTTATTACGTTGCTTTATTGTGTAGTTCTTCCAGTTGCCTAAAACATTATATTCATTTGCTACGACTATATTTGGATGTGCATCAAGTAACGAACCAATCAGAGTGTGCCCACTTCTTGGATAGCCAATAAACATCAACATCGTGTCAACGTCTTTGACAATCTTTGGATCTAGTTCAATGTTTTCGTGATTAAAATATTCAGGCCGTGAACGACATAGGATTTTCTTCGAATTAGAGGTTTTTCCAAGACCGACATTTTGTTGCCTCTCGATGGTATGCGATCCTAAAATGGATAACAGCAAAATATTGAACCAAAGGAAAGAAAACTATCAACTGACGACAAAATCAAGGCAAAGAAAATAACTTGTTTTTCTTGTTATACTTGTAGAATACTTCGTGTTTTTGGACACGCATAAGGACGTTCTCTCAATTGATCATATTTCGGTCAACGACATACAGGGCCGCCAAGCGGTTTTGGAGGGCCCAGGATAAAACGTTTCCAGCGGTGTTTTGCAATATTCCGGCCGGGGTGTCCCAAAAAAAAACCCACTGTGCTTTGTTGTATTGCAACGTCAGTTAAGTTTTGATAGAAGTTTCAGATTTTTACACTAGATAAATAATTATCCTATCGTTTTAAAGCAATGGTACTCAAAATAGCCAACTATACAGGGTGTCCCAAAAAAATGCCCCTACTATATTTGATGGTATAAATACAACGTTAGGTTTAGCAGAATATTCAGATTTTTGCATGGGATGAAATAACTATCATATCATTTCAATCAATTGCTATTTGACGAGTCAAAATAACCAACCGCTTGAATTTTAAATGATTTTTATATGTTAGCGATCACAAACCACCTGCCTTTAAGTAACCTGAGTATCATGCCCTGATGTTTTCATTCACCAGGATTGAACAAGTGCGAATTCTCTTTAAACTTCCCCTTTTTAAAGCCTGAAATACTTTTGACCTAAGTTCTAATCATAATCTTTACAATCTGGACAAGTTGAAATGTTCGTGTCGCCACCCAGTTAAATAAATCCAGAAGGCAAATAGTGGGGCAGATTGGTGAAAACTATAGAACAGTTGTGTATTTGATATTTAATAGGTAGATGGTAAGAAAAACAAAATTATGTGCCAAGCAAGAGCTGATCTGTAATGCTGTATAAGTAAAAAATGTCCTTGGGGTATATCCTAACATTATGCCAAGCAACCTCATTCCCAGGTTCTATAGATCAAATATTTATCAACATCATCATCATCAATGAGCCTGGGAACGAGGTTTTTGTTTCCCAAAGTTGTGTGCTTTTATCACTACCGATATAAACAAGTGAAATTCAAAGTTCACATTCAGCAAATATTACCTATATTGTTAGATCGAAAGCTCGCAGAAAATTAAATATAGGACTTTTAAACGACTGCCAATAAAGAACCGGTTTAGAAAAATGTTAACCACATAAAGAATGCCAAAAAAGTTAAGGTTCAAAACCTTTTCCGGACAAATACAGTACCTATATAAAGTCACGGTAAAACACAATTTTTCGGACCAATACTGTACCAGTGAAATTTTTTTTAATTTCTTTTTTATTTAAACATTATTTTATTACATTTACCCCAAAAGCTAAGAGCTCATCATGGGGGTCCATGCTAAGGTCTAAAAGTTGTTCTCATACGATTACTATATAAAAAACTTTCCAAATAATTTTTTTTCAATTTTACCTTTTGGGGCCCCCCTTTTGAAAAATTTGATTTGATGCCCCTTTTAACTGGGGGCCCGAAGAAAATTGCTTCATTTGTCTCCTTCCCCCCTGGGAGGGTCTGCCTAAATTAAAGCCAATAAAGTCATTAGACAACATTTAAGAGGTTGGAATGTTATAATTTGCCTTTAAAAAGAAAAATCATAAGCGTGTCGTATCTTTATATGTGATAAAAAATCATGTTAATTTACATAAACTTTAGCTTTGATTTTCTCGGTTTAGACAAAGTTTATTTTACAAAATTACTTCGCTAATTTACTCATCAGAAGATGTAGTCGTGTTTTATCAGATATAAAACGCTCGGCTGCCCCTCGCGTTTTATATCTGATAAAACACTCCTACGCGTGCTTTAAATAGTACGTAAATGTAGGTTCATTTTGCCCGCATTACTAACATACTGGTGTGTAAATTAAATAGACACATTACATACTTTTACATTTACTTGGGCTAATGGCAACATTGTTCCAATATATAAATCGGGCAATACGTTTGACCCTGGTAATTAGAGAGGAATATGTATCAGTAGTTGCTTGGGGAAACTTTTCACTTTAATAATGAATACTCGTTTAAATGAATTCCTGGAAGAAAATAACGTAATAAATAAGTGTCAAATTGATTTTCGAAAACATCATCGAACAGCTGATCACCTTTTAGTTTTAAAAACCTTAATTGATTTTTACAAATCTCATAGAAAACCGATTTTTGCTTGTTTTATCGACTTTAAAAAGGCGTACGATAGTGTTTGGAGAAAAGGTCTTTTGTTTAGCTTATTTCATGCGGGTGCAGCAAAACATTTTTACGATTTATATCAAATATGTATTCCTCCGTAAATTACTCGGTTAAATTGAAAGATGGTGTAACTCCCCCTTTTCAATCTTATATTGGTTTAAAACAAGGGTGCAATCTTAGTCCTACTCTATTTAATATATTTATAAGTGATATACCAAATTTGTTTAATCAATCGTGCGACCCTGTTAGACTTGATAACACGGTCTTGAGTTGTTTACTTTATGCAGACGATTTGATTTTGTTGTCCGAGTCGAAAGCAGGATTGCAAAAGTGTTTATCAAAACTCGAAATATATGCAAAAAAATGGAAACTTAATATTAACAAAAAGAAATCTAAAATTTTAATATTTGGCACAGCAAATCAGAGACGCTCATATTTGCTGACAAAATGGTACTATGAAAATGAAGCCCTGGAACAAGTAGATGAATATTGCTATCTTGGAATTACTATTAATTTTTCTGGGAATTTTAAGAAAGCCCTAAAAGTCTTACGTGATAAAGCTTTAAGAGCATACAATAACCTTTTAAAAAACTTTTCTAATTTTGAAAACGTACCAATAAAAATACTTTTAAAACTATTTTCAGCGAAGATAATCCCAATTTTGTTACACGGATGTGAAATTTGGGGACCTTATTTGATAGGTAGAGTAACTACCTTTGAGATCTTTACAAGTAAATTCTTCAAAATTATGAATGAAATTGAAAGAATTCATTTAAAATTCTGCAAACGAATTCTTGGCGTGCACTCAAAAACAACAAATTTGACTATTTATGCCGAATTAGGAAAGGTTCCTTTGATTGTTCAAATTTCTACTCTTGTAGTTAAATACTGGATTCGTATTAGCAGTACATATTTTAATAATACGTTATCTGGTGAAGCTAGAAACGTTTGCATGCGTCTGAATCTAAAACCAATAGTTTTCATACAATTTTTGCTAAAAATGTGTAAATTAGAGATGAAGGACTTCGAAAAATTTTCAAACTCCAGTGATGAGTCAACCAAAACAAGACGAAAATTTTGCCACTATTTAAATGTTACATTAAAAAACGAATTTACCTCATTTTGGAAAGACCAGGTTCTTCAAAATGGTGATAGTGGTAAATTGAAAGAATATAAGAAACTTAAAGTAAATGTGGGTATTGAAAATTACCTTTTAGAAATTAAAAATTTTAAGTACCGTCAAGCAGTTACAAGATTACGAGTTTCAGCGCACAGATTACCAGTAGAAATTGGCCGATAAAAATTGACTACTGTGACAGAAAATGTAAACTTTGTGATCAGGGTGAAGTTGGAAATGAACAACATTACCTAATGTCATGTGGTAACACAGTGTTTACATTTTTGCAACAGAATTTTATTAATTCTGTTTATAAAATTAACCAATCATTTAAATATTTTGATACACAAAGTTTGTTCCATTATATACTAAGTATGAAAGATAGAAATTTTCTGAAATTATCTTCAAAATATTGCTACGATATACTAAGAATTTTTGACATATTGAACGAGTTAGCCTGAATAAATTATTTGTAAGTTTATATACTGTAATGTCTTTTTTATATTTTAATTTTTGTAACTAATGTATATGTAGGTATTCAATGTACCAATATTGGTATTTGGTTGAATAAAGTTTCTTCTTTACTCGCAACTATAGTCAAATCTGTGCAGGCCTTTGTTAGCCTGATTGGCCTGTACATA